TACTTGATTTGTTCTTTTCTCTTTAGCTCATCAGTCTGTGAACTCACCTGTATAAAATGGGTTTACAAATAAAGTTTGATTGATTGATTGATTGATTGATTGATTGATTGATTGATTGATTGATTGATTGATTTTCTACCTCATGGCCCACTTGAAAATCTCAAAAAATGCTGCCCACATGTGACCCTGTAACAATACAGAGGCCTAATAATATATTCTCACTTTTTATTCTAATATAATGAAGAAACATACGATGTGGCAACAACATAAATCATTATCATTATTGATCAGTGATTGATTGATCAGCCTCGATACATGAAGAAAGAAAATCAACAGTGGTTGTGGGGTCAGACGTGAGCCGACAACACTGTCGACATTTTGAACCGGGCCATGAGATGGAAAGTTGTGAACAGCTGCTTTAAGTAAAATCAGCTTTGTGTTGAGACGGGTCTTTCCTCTTTCTAAATATTTCATGTTGAAATGTTCTTGGCGGGAGTCGGTGCAGGTCGGTGGGGGTCGGTGGGGGTCGTGGAGGTCATGGGGGTCGTGGAGGTCATACGTTGCAGAGTGATGACGGTTGAAGCTGCTGCTGCGTCTCTGTAACTCAAGCTGAAAACAAAACGTGCAGCAGCAGGTGGCGACGTGGACAAATGAAATCCTCGTTCACACTTTGTTTCGAGTCCGTGAGTCCAGCTGAAACAACGTGTGATCGTCCATTTTTACAGCCAAAAATAACCTCTTCTAATTTTTTATTTTTTTACTTTATTATGTTTTATTTTTACATTTATTGTTCTTTGCTGTCCGTCCGTCTGTCCCCCTCTCCTGAACGCCACATCTCAGGAACACCTTGAGGGAATTTCATTACATCTGGCACAAACGTCATCCTGGATGAACTGATTGGATTTTGGCGGTCACAGGTCAAAGGTCAAGGTCGCTATGACCTCACGTCCATCCCGTTCTTATAAACGCGATATATCAGGAAATGCCTGGAGAGAATTTCATTACATGAGGCACGAACATCCACTTGGACTCAAGGATGAACTGATTAGAATTTAGTGGCCAAGGGTCAAAGGTCAAAGGTCGCAGTGATCTCACAAAACATGTTTTTGACCATAACTCAAGATTCATACACTAATCATGGCACAATTTAACACGAATGTCTAAAACAATAAAATGATGACAGGTCAAAGGTCAACTTCACTATGACATCATAATGTTCTGTGAAAACTTTTCAAGTCATTATTGATCGTGTATCTCAGGAAGAGAAGAAGAGATTGTGCCTATATTTCTGATGTTGAACAGATCATGTGTTGTCAGGTTGAACACGTCTGAGCGAAGACGACATGTTTCCCACTGGAGGACAGTCGTAACATCCGCTTCACCAGAACACGTGCTTAAGACGTCTTCACTTCAAATATTAAATGGGTCTGGACAGACAGGGAATCAATCACCATGGTAATTCTAGTTTATTGTAAATGTGGTTTAATATGAATCACTTTGATTGGCTGGATGGAAACAGATGGAGTTCTCTGGTATACTTTATACTTATATATGTATCTATACTGTGAGAGATGTACTGTAAAACATTAAAGACCATTTAGCTGATATCTGTATTCACATGTACAGTTTAAATCTCAAGTATGATTCAGGGACAGAGTTCAACCAAAATGATGCTTTTGGATTTAAATATATTTCTTTTAATTAAAGAGATTAAAAACGTCCAACTTTCTTCTGTTGATTGAGTTTGTTTTTGATTTTGTTTGTTTGTTTGTTTGTTTTTGTTTTTTAGCATGATTTCACTTATTTGTACAAAATAAAATTAACAAATTTAACCTTAAACAACGACATGTGACCTGCACATCTGCAGATTTCTATTACAAATGACTGGATTAAATTCTTTGACACACCCTGTCATTATATAACACGCAAGACAGGGTATATCATTTTTTTTTCACTCGTAACAACAAATGCATCAGTGCATTTGTTTTTTCATCTTTCATGTCATGGACTTTTAAACAATAAAAATACTAAAATATCACGTAAGAAATCACATACATTTTCTTTTTCTGCTGTTTTGTTTTCAGTTAATATTTTTGATATGTGACATACATTTTAGTGAACACTTATTAACTAGTTGTAGGTGTAATAAACAGAGGATCTCTTCCTGTTAATCACTGGTAGAGTGTCTGACATTGCTGTAGCTGGGTTATGGCGACAGACTGACACATGTATCACAGTTTAACAGCGTCAGTCTGTTCATCGTGTTGTCATGTGTTCAGATGATTCGTAATGATTTAGCACTTGACACGTCTTTCTCCAGCTTTTCCAGCAAACACTTGATCCGTACCTGCAGACCTGGATTCACTTCGTGCTCTCAACCACATAAACTGTTAAATACATTTAGCTCCTTCAATTCAATCTGTGTGAGAGCTCCAGTCCAGCTGCAGTGAAACAGGTGTCTTATTACTCCACAGAGCAGTTTGAGGAAGCTTCCCAGGAATGTCTAAGAAATGATTATCTATTGTGAGGACAAGTGAACGCAGTAATCGATGTTAAACAGAAAGCTGCAGGCGGAGAAAAAACTGCAGGAAAAGCAAAAGCTTGGGCAACTTTAGCATTGCTCATACAAAACGATTCCCTCTTACTGAATCACTTAAATCTGTTTTCATCATCATTAATATTTCAATGGGAAAAAAACACCAAAAAAATAAAAACATTGCTGCAGTTTCCTGAAAAGAGCGCAGTTTCTACAACACCTCTACTAATGACAGGGCCGTACAACAGGCAGATTCCTGTTTGCCTGTTTTCTCATCACAAAACTAAGCAGGTCAGACAAACAGTCACTCATGCAGAGAAGTTAGAAATCCTTACTTCTTGTCGATCAATGGTTGCAATTTCAGGTTCCTTTTTAATTGTTTGTGGTTTTGTTGTCAAAATGAAGATTAATCAATGAAGGTCCAGCAGGTGGAAAACAAAATGTCAGGAGTAAATTTTGGGAGTAGATCTGTTCAGGGAATCTGAGAAGAAGCTTCACTGAAATAAAACCCTTGTATTGACTGACCCGATGATAATTGTGCTCAAAATTACAGCTAAGGGAAGGTGGTAGTAAATAAAAGAGAGGGAGGGAGGGAGGGAGGGGACAGACAGAAACGTGAGGAGGAGGAGGGGGACTGCACCGCTATTATGAGCACTTTATTTTCAATTAAGCCATCTTACATCTGCTGTAAGTTCACTTTCTGCCATTTCTGATGATGCAGGGATTTGTTGGACTGGAAATTGACTGGTTAGCAAACGTCTGCAACTTTGGTCATTTAAGGGAAGAAGCACTTTCAACAAACAGCAGCAGAAAACACTGAAGGAAAAAATGTTTTATTTTATCAGGCAGCAGCACAAAAATCAAAATGTGATATGAATGAAATGAGATGAAGAGCTGAATGAGCTGCAACTGCCTGTTAAGTGACGGTAGTGAATTTGAAACATTCGTTGCTTTGAATTAATCATTAATCATATACAATAAGACGGTTGCTTCCAACTTTACTTAGTACTATTTAAAGCTCTGGAAAGTCACACTACATCCTCAGGGGAACATGATCGTCTGTGCTGAAGGAAATTTCACTGGTGGCGCCACAAGGCAGGTCAGGTGATCGACCAAAGTCAGCAGGATTCATCCTCTGAGGATTATGAATATCTGCACAATATTTCATAACAATCCCTCAAACAGTTATTGAGGTGTTTCAGTGTGGGGCTGCGGTGCCTCTTCAGACCTGCAGCCTCAGGACTGTGGCTGACTGGCGTCTCCCCAACGCTTCTTTTAGTACTGATACACGCCCAACAATTTACCAGTTTATTCAACCTGTATGACTTTTTATTACTATATCCAACAGAGTATTTAATGATGTCATTGTAATTTCCCAGCACAGCTCTACCCAACATCATCTGAGCAGAATCTCATCTGCCAGAAAGACACTGAAACACCTGAGAAGCTCCAGTTCACTGTTACACCTCCAATCGATGGGCCAAGGAATCCATTTATTACACTTTAATTCACACTCTAATCTGATCCTGAAAAGCTTTTAAACCACGAGAGGAAGTCATCTTAACTAAAAGGGATGTGAAGAGTGAGAGAGAGAGAAAAATATTACAGGACAACCTGCTGAAGCGTCTGCTGCTGCACACCTGCTTTACAAAAGCATTTCAGCAACTTCAACACCAGGAAACACTATCCAGACTCTTTAAACCTGCAGCACCAATAATATTACAGTAATTACAACATTAGCACCTTATAGAGGTGATGTTACCTGTTCACTTCCAGTCGACAGGGAGAAACATTAGCATCATTCAGTTGTATTTGACTCCAATATTCACTTCAGCTGTTTTTGGTCTGTGAGAAACAGCCTCACTAAAAACATCTGCCTGGATGAGAGCAGCAAGAACGAACCAGGTTCGCAGGTCCAACAGTCACCTCATTTCCCTTATCAGTCTCTTTATTTTATTTATAAACCCCAATGAGAAAGTAGAATATTAATATGAAGAAAATAGCTGAGCGGTAGATCAGGAGCAGAACGATGAGGATGTTTTTGTAAAACAATGTTTCCTCCCTTAGATTTCTCATTAAAACCCAACAACGATTAAACTACCGTCTCAAAAACATATTATTCACACTTTACACATTCACACTCTTTACTGGAAAACGAGAATCCCCACTTCGTGGTCGTGGCCTCCGCCATTCAGACTAGTTTCACATTACATGCCTGTTTATCCAGTCACAGAAAATATGAACCATGTGTGAAACTGTCATGATTTCTGTGTGAAGTCTTGAGTTATGGCTTCACAGTGTTTTGTGAGGTCACACTGACCTTTGACCACCAAATTCCAAACAGTTCATCCTTGAGTCCAAGTGAAAGTTTGTGTCACATTTGAAGAAGTTCCTTCACGGCGTCACTGAGACATGGCTGCTGCTCTGACTGTCGGAATAAACATAAACTAAATCCTCAAAACACTAAATGTTACAGTTTTTTTTATTGATAACAGCAAGATGAATAAGAGTCTTTTACATTATTGACAAAATGAATGTCATAGAAAACATATTGAGATGTGGTCTGGTGCATCGTTTACATCTACACAAACACTGATGTCTCTGTGTGGATTTCTACTTAATCACCTTCATGAAGAATTGCTTTATTTAAACTCCTTAGTGTTGATGTATCCGCTCGAGTATTTAAAAAGCACAATGTTCAATTCAACAATCATTATGAAAATACTGTTACAAACTTAACAACCGAGATGCGTTCATGTTTTTGTGGTTTAAAACTGTTCAATAGAAAAGTTCACAATCGTACTGATCGCTGATGGCTTCCAATCGTTTCACCATCTCTTTACAAAATCTAAAAATAATCTCCTGTTTAACACCAAGGCTTCTACATCTGTTGGTCAAATACAGTATATGTAAAAAAAAAAAAAAAAACTAATATGGTGAATGTCAATTAAGGTTAATTAGCTTCGGATGCTAAAAAAATAAACTGTGTGCTTTACTGTGGAATGGAATAAAGACTGATCGATCCATTTACACCAGGTTTTAAAATTTATCATCCTAATAAATATAGAAAACACTGTGGAATGCATAAATTATATCTATGAGGAATTATTGTAAATGTGATGCAGAAGCAGCAACTAAGAGTTTCACAAATAGCCTTGCTGGTGAAGTATTTCCTTTAGGATAGAGTCTGAATTTTAAACTCCTCCGGTCTTCCTGTCAAACCTGAAGTTTGATCATGCTCTCTCTGGACTTGCCGACTCCAACCCACTTCACTGAAATGAGAAAAAACAAAAGACATGCTGTGATTGGCAGGTTTGGCAAAGTGAGGAAGTGTCTGGCTGGAGTTTGTCCATTAATGTAAAGTGTCTCTTCACAAACCTGGCACTTGCAGGAAGTTCTCAATGAAGCGAATGTAACTCTGCGCCTCGGGCGGCAGCTGCTCGAAGCTCCGAGCCGCCTCAGTGCTGCAGCACCAGCCGGGCAGCGTCTTGTACTCAACCGACACCCGCGTCAAGACGTCCATGTTTGCTACAAGAGGCAGATCGATAACGCTGACTGAAAAATGACGTTGTTGTTTCTGTTTACAGTTACTGATTTATCTAATCTGATACTCTGTGGTGCTCCTGAACGCAGCACAAGCAGCACTTGGAGAATGAACTCTAAATCAGGACAAGAGCCACTTCATCAAACATCTGACCACAGAAATGATGAACGTACAGGAAACCGGTGTGAACGTGCAGCTGCAGCGTCGAACGGAGCAGAAGAAAGAAGCCGTTTCATCTTCCTCCGGTTCATTAGCTTAAAAATTCAATTTGCTCCATTTGACTCGACAAGCAGAGATACAGACGAGCTGCTGCAAAACAGATTTTCACAAACCCAAGATGTTGCATTTCCTGTTAGTAAAAGCTGAGCCATTTATAATAAGACATTAGGGAGCATCAAAGTTCAGCTCATCATGTGTAACCAAATCCTAAAGAGGAGCTCTGATGTTGAAGCTGTGTTAAAAGAAAATTATGTTTCTGGCATTAAAACTTTTGTGGATAGATCATCTTAAAAATTAAGATTTTTAATCAAACATTATAAAAATGTCAAGACAAAAAGGGACTAAACACATTTAGTGCAGAATCAGTGTAGTGAGGATTTTCTGCTTCAGTGTTTGTTTGTGGTAAAAGTTTTATATAAAATAATTTCATTATTTTCAGTTGTTTTAATTAATTATTCTAAATAAATAATTGACACAAGATGAAAATAATAATCAAGAGCTAATCTGAAGTTCTTAAACTAGTGTTTATCTTTATAATGTATTAAAGCAGCAGTGATGTATTGTCTTACTACGTCTGAATGTTTGACCGTTGATCTGATATTTTTCAGAGCTATGAAACATCCAGGTGGGAGTGACCTACCGGGGAAACTTGGTAGAGGTTGTCCATCGACTTTATAGGCCACACCCACTTTAATCTCAGGTAGCGTGTCCAAAATGTCCAACTTCGTCAGGGCAATTCTACAAAGAGAGAAGTCACTCTGTTCAACTCTGTACATTTCTACTGTGTTTCTACTGTAACGGTAAAAACTTCATCTACGTCAGCAGGTGACATGCTGTGATGTTCCTTACGCAGAGAAGCCATTGACCATGTGGGCGTATCTGACCAGAATCAGGTCCAGCCAACCACAGCGCCTCTTCCTGCCCGTCGTCACGCCAAACTCCCTCCCTCTGGACTGTAACAGCGCTCCGATCTCCTGCAGCACCGGAGGACAAACACACTGTGAACTGACGACTAAGATTACAGAGGAAAACACTGAACTAGATTTACTTTAACCTCACCCAGATAATTAGGGATAATGTTTATCTGCCTGTTGTGTGTATTACTTTTGTTGGGAATGTCAGCTGAGCACACGTCTTTCTCCTGTAACATTCCGCTTCAGTTTCACACGCACCTCACGACTAAAACTGAGTGGAGACTGTGTAAATTACCAATATACCAAAAACCTTAGGTCTTTAACCACCAATTAAATATGGTCTGAGCTGATGGAACAGTCTCCATGACGACCTGAGAGTGGCAGGAAGTGTTGACGTTCCTCTTCAGCCTGGCTCCTAATTAAATCTGGTTTTTAGTCGTTAGTCACTTTATTTTATTCACTTATTTTATTGTTATTATGATGTAAATTGTATTTGATTCTATCTTATGTTCTTTTATCATTCATTTTCTTATGATTGTTTGTGTTTGCTGATGTCATTATAGCTATTGAAAGCTATGACAATATAATTGTAGCTTGTATCTCCTTGTCAGTTTTCTTTCTTGAGTTGTCCTTTTCTTTTCAGCTCATCAGTCTGTGAAGCTCTGCTAACTGCACTGACCTGTATGCAAAGTGCTGTACAAATAAAGTTTGATTGATTGATTGATTAATATAGTCCTTGTCGTCCTATAATCACATGCTTGGCTGTAATGACGGTGGTAATCCTTCAACCCAGTGGACCATGCTGGATTTACTTGTGATGAATTTGTCAACATTTCTCTCTAATTATAATAATTCTTATCAACTCATTTAAAAACTGTCTTTGTACTCACATTGTCCTGCTCTGTAGGGAAAGCACCAACACCCACCCGGGTGGTGTACGCTTTGACGACACCGTATACTCGGCCGACGTATGACGGAGGCACGCCGAGGCCGGTGCAGACTCCTCCCACAGTGCAGTTAGAGGACGTCACGAAGGGATACGTCCCTGGACCAAGAAACATTCGTTAAACCCAGGAGCCAAAAACATCAACACAGCTTCTTAATCAATCCCACAAACTGTCGCTCACCAAAGTCAATATCCAGGAGAGCAGCGTTGGCTCCCTCCACCAGGATCTTCTTACTGGGTCCAGTCAGAGCTTTGTGCATGAAGTACACACCATCAGTCACCAGAGGGCGCAGCCTCTCAGCATATCCCTGAGGAAACAGTCACACCAGACACTCAGACACAGACAGGGACCATCTCTGGTTTACATCTACAGTTCATCATGTATGAGGAAAAAGACTCTTCAGTAATAAAAACCAATTACAACCGGTAAGTACCTCTTTACAATCAGACTCAACTTATAAAGGATTTATGGATGGTTTATAACTAGTTCATTAATCAGCTTGTTAACACTTTATAAATCATTTATAAGCTGTTATGACACATTAGATAAAAAGGGCAACGGTGACCTGTTGCTTACCAAATAGTGAGCCCACGTGTCTCTGTACTGTTCAGCCTCATGTCTCCTTAGTTACTGAGCTTTCTTTGTTTCCTCCATCATCAGCATCTGTAGCTGCTGCTTCATCATGTTTGTTCAGTTACTAACAATGAACCACCGTCAGCACCTTCATGGTCAGAAAGTTTCGCTCTTCTGCTGGTTGGTCTGTTCTTTAGGACTTTAACATCCAGGTAGAACACAGGTGGGAACCTTCCTTTACCTGGTGAACTGCTCACCCATTCTTTGTCCCACTGTTCACATCTCTGTGATTCTCCCTCCATCACCTTCATGTTTCTTCTTCTCGTTTTTACAACCATTTATTTCTAAACACGTCTTAATTTATCAATGAGTTACTATAAAGCTCCTGTTACCAGTTATAAATGGTAGTAACTTATTAGTCAGATTAATGAGTAGTAAACATTAACTTGACGTTGCCAAATAGTGAGCCTGCATCAATGTATGAAAACTGAGTTATAACTTGATTATAATTGTTTATTTATGATTTATAAAGTGTTAACAACTGAATTAATAACCTGACTATAAACCATTTATAATGGTATCCTTACTGTAAAGTGTTACCGCTGGCAAAGAAATAACCTTGATCACTGTGATGTCATCAACAAGCAGCATGACAGTGATTCAATATTTAAAACTAACAGGCCTTTTTTTTCTCCACAGCAGACATTTGACTTGTCACAGTAGGAAAGCACAGGTGGAAATGCTGACATCAACTGCGGCTCCATTTGATTCAAGTGTCAGAGAGTGTGACAGTGAGGCAGCATTCACAACAAGCAGCTAAATGGAATTCAGCCTGCCTTTGTTCCTGCTGTGACATGGCAACATGTCTCATGTGAAAAAGGCCCCAAGTGTCAATCAAATGAGTCATATAATATTGTGATATGTGGTTTTGTCAGTCCTGACTAACTGATAACCTGTCCTCACCTTCAGCTGCTCCAGTTCACTGTCGACATTGACGTTGAGGTTTGGATACATGGTCAGGAAATGTTCTGCCAACATACGAAACCTGCAACGAGAGAGTTTCATTTACACAGGCTTGTTTAAGTCTTCGTGCAGCCCCTCTGTTTGCGAATATACAACATGATATACAGGACAGACGAGATATTATAAAGCTTCTATGAAACCATGGCGGCGCCAGATGTCACATGTATCACGGCCAGGTGGCGCCACCAGCTGGTGGGAGAAGGTACAAAGTATTCAGCAGTCAAAGCGATGATGCTAAAAACCACAGCTGCTTACTGTGATACATGATGGAGATATAAAAAACAAAAAGGGACCAGCAGCACCTCCTAATGTCTACAGCAGCCATGCTACATGCTCTTTAACTGACTTCTAAACTAAATGTATTCTGATATTTAGGGACATCATTTGGAAAGAGCTGCTCCAAGATGAACAGACTAAGTTAACTTCAGTGTCAGTGGTTCAGGAAATCAAAGACCTGGTGATTCTAACTGTTAAAACACTGAATAAAGCAGCTTCACATTTAAAGTCAGTGTTTGAGCGACGCTGTACGGAGGACAGAGACTCAGGGAGGAGTCGGAGCTGAGATTGATGCTAACCTTTGTTCTGATTGTTTCTCTGATAACTTATGAACCAGACGTTCTGCAGGTTTTTACCAGCAGCTGAATGATCCACAGAGGAGTCCTCCTCTCCACAACAATCACACCAGGAGAAACACAGAAAAAGAATGAAAAAAAAAAAAAAAAAAAAAAAAAAAAAAAAAAAAACCATTGACCACTCCTCAGTGACACAGGACAGGACGTCTCCAGTGGCTGGGAGCTGAGCTGTCTAACATTTCCTCAGCTTGTTTCTCTGATAACTTCAGATCCAGACGTCCGACGACTAAAATCCTTCATCTGGTTCAAATATAGAGCTGAAAACCACCAAGGTGTAAAAAGTGTCTGTGGCTTAAAACTAGATAAAAGTCAATGTTGAGCTTCTGTCAGAAAAACACATGATCATAGAGGATATGATGTCATTGACAGGTGACCAATGGAACGTTACCATCATTAAAATACACAGATTTCTTTGGTTCGAGAATTGATGGAAACATTTGTGATAATGTAAGAATACAACTCAACAACATATAGAACAGATCTAGTTGTTTTTAGACATTTTAATATGGAAAAGTTACAGATTATAACTTTAAATGCTCTGCAACCTAAGAGGAAATTCACTGTTCTCTCAATTGTACAGAGATTCAAGAAGCTCTTAAAATTTTTAAATATTAAACTATTATTACAAAACTTGACCTAGTGACTTAAAATGCTGATCAGAGGTTCCATCAGCTGTTCTAGCTTTTTATCACATCTTAGATCACGAATGATGAGGCAACATGTGAAGAAAACATGAAAAATAACTAAAGAAATGACAAGATAAAAATAAAGAAACACTCACTTGTCCTCAAAAACCTTGAAATCTGAGACAAGGTCACAGACTCGCAGACCGTTCCGAGCAGCTTTGGAGGAGTACGCAGGTCCGATGCCCTTTTTAGTCGTTCCCAAACTGGAGACCAAACAGAAACCAGTTACACATTAATATACAAGTTTCAGCCAAATACAGAATTATACAGTATAAGAATTAATATATTTACATTTTCCCTTCTTGTTGCTGCCGCTGCTGCTCCTGGATCCCATCAACAGCTTGGTGGAAGTTGAACACTAGAGGCAGAAAGAGGCGACAGTCAGTCAGGAGACGTTTGTGACTCAAGAACTTGAATGAAGAAATCTTACTCACCAATGTGGGCACGATCAGAAATCTTTAATCGCTCCTCCCATCCTTGTAATCCTGCACGAAACACGATAAATCACATCATACTTTCGTACTACAACAAATATCTATTCCACCTCATCTGTCTGGGCCGTATTACTACCCACAATGCACCTCTCCTATTCATAAAACTTTACCTTTGCCTTTCTGCAGGTTCTTTTCAGCCTCCTCAAACAGACCAGGCAGGTGTATCACCACTCCGTTACCTGTAATGTAAAATTAGACTTTTAACTACTGGGAAATTACTTCATGCATTATCTTATCGCAACAAACTGCTAATATTTTCTCTGAGGTTTTATTTACACAACACATCGTGTTGCCGCTCACTTTAAAAATTGTTCCTTTAATGCTTTTCTCATTTCCTGTTTTCATGAGGGGAAAAATACAGCAAGCATAAAAAGAGGAAATGCAAAATGAAGAAAACACTGGATCACAAATGGTGATTAAGATACAAGAGCACCGAGTACATTTACCTTAACGACTCATTGTTTAACAGTTGGTTTAGTTTAATCTTTGTGCAGCTGTGTACAGTCCCTGAAGGTCTCCTGTGCACCGTGCGTCTGTTTTCTAGCCACACCTAACTGATGAAATCTAACACTTCAGCACTGAGTCAGAACCACACTGACTCAACTTTGATGTGATTCTGGAGGATGTTTGCTGTTCAGTAGTATGGTGAGGTGATTGTGTTATTCGATCTACCCTCTGATTATATGAGGTCAAATGAACATAAAGACGAAACCAACAACAACAAAAAGCTTCCAGAAGGTGGGATTTAGAGCAGGGCATCAGTTTTTACCTGTGTGTAGCTAATGAATGACACAGTGTGTGTTGATCCTGTGTGTACACCGACACATCTAACAATTAGAGCAGGTCAACTTCCTCATGACACATAAAAACTGATAAGGCAGTCTGCTGTTTTCATGTCTGCTGATAATGGTCATATACTGACATGTTATTGTTTTATTGTTGGGATATTAATCTTCCCGCCAAACTTCACGCCTGAGACAAAACAAAACAGAAGGATGGTCTCGTACCGATGAAGGAGACCGCTTTTTTGTTGAGCACTCCACTGGGCAGCAGGTGGAAGTCATACTCCACCGAGTCCACAACCACCGTGTGACCTGCATTGTTGCCCCCCTGGAAAAAGAGCAACACAGTCAAGTCACAATCAAGTACACAGCAGAAAGACTAATCAACACTGAGGGCAGCTACAATGTCAGGCTCTTATATAACACGTCAGCCTGTGTTGACAGAGTGTTTCCAGGTGGCTCTGGCTACAAGATGAAACTCTTCTGTTAAATCTCTCTGGGTTGAGGAAGAGAAACAGCTGGATAACAACTGGAGGTTAGTGCCTTAGGTGATGTAACAGTCACTTAACACGGTTATCAGTATTTACCGCGCTCATTTACTGGATTTAATTCACATTCTGCGACCAGTTGGCAGAGAGAAATAGGTTAGCAGTGCTTGCTAGCACCAAGTTAGCACTTCCACATCCGGGAGGTCAGGCAAGGTTGTTGACGTCGGAACCAGGTCATGAATATTTAACGGCAGCTAAACGGCAATGACTTTCACCGAACTCCAGGAACAATGAGCGGACATTTTAATCAACAGCAACGACACTGTGTGATATAGTCAGCGTGTAAAATGTGATGTTAACTCAACGTAGATAAGTACCTGACACCTGCAAACAATATCCGCATCCATTGCGAGCAAGTCCACAACTTTTCCTTTGCCCTCGTCGCCCCACTGCGCCCCGAGCACAACGGTCACTTTGTTCTGGGAATCCTGCTGGCTGCTTTCCCGGGGCCGCTTGACTACCGGCTCCCCGTTCAGGGACACGATCTCTCGCCCGTTAACGTTCGCCATGGTGCCGTCGGATTCCATGCTGCTGCCCTCCTACAAACCGGAATATCGTTTTACCGCGTTTCTCTGCGTCACGGGAAGTGCGAGTCTCCTCTTCACCACAAGATGGCGAAGTTTGTGATTTTCTCTGTGGTTCTTCACAATATTAAAAAAATAGTTATCTAATTATTATTTTATTTTATCTGGTTAATCTTTAATTGAATAACTGACATATACATGTTGGGTTAAGTTCTTATTTGTTTTATGATTAATTAAATCAGAACACTGCAGGGGATTCACGAAGAGTACACAAAGATAAAATGATTCACTCCTCTCCACTTCCGTCTCCGTCTCTTTGATCCCGGTCGGGCTTGTTTTGAGTTAATCAATAACAGTATTACGACCATATTGTACCGAACCTCGCTTTCCTTTGTTTTTGGTCGTTTTGTCGTTTGTCGGTGGATTTTCATTTTCTATTGGAAAGTAGATTTTCAGTTTCAAAAACATTTATTGGTAGAAATGGTGGTTTCACCCGTTAACTGAGCGTTTTTCTGCTCTAATAGGCGATAAATTAGCACACAGTGGATTGATTAAATACATTTAGATAGAAAGCCTCCTTCCCTGAAAACCAATTCATCATTGATTGAGGCTCATTATTTGATTAATCAGTAGGTAAGTAAAAGATCACTTCTATGCAAGCAAGCACTTACTATTCATGTAGAGGAGGGATAGACAATAAATTACTTTAAAGAATTAATTTTATTTCCATTTTTATTTTTTTCTATTTTTATTATTATTATTTTAATTTGATTGAGTAACGGTCTGAAAACAATACGTTCAATATTTCAACATATTACATAATCATCTCTTCTTCAATAAATGAAATATAATAGGCTCTAAAATATAACAATATAACATTTATTTATTTATTTATTTATATATATATACACACACGAACAAGACAAGATCAAAAACATGGTTTTGTGGCTTTTGTAGTTTAGTTCCATACACTTAGAAAGTAGAATTGCTTCTCTCTGCTGCTGTCCGCTCACATTGTCCTTTCAGTGCTCAAGTAATATTTCATTAATGTCTTACATTTTTTAAGTTTAGGTGCTCCCTTATTTTTCCAGTTTGACAATGAGTAATAACGATGAGGATAGTATTGAGGGAAAAATAATTTGCCATCCAGTTAAGAATCTTTCAATATTTTGAAAGAGACAGATAATTGGCGATAATGCAACTTTATAATTACAAGTTCTAGAAATCCATCTTTCAATGTTCTCCCAAGTCTTTAAATCATTTCATGTGTTTACCAATAATTGACTTTTCCTTTTAACCAGCTCAAATCTGTATCAACTGGTTTATTGTTATTTGATTAAATAAAAATGAATCAGTAAAATGGACACAAGCATATAAACACAAGTAATTCAGGCCCTAAGAAGCCGAGCATCACTATCTAATCTCGTGTTCCTGTCCTGTGAAGCGTCCTGTGTCAAAATACAGTCTTAAACAGTAATTCCACACTGACTCACACTATAACAAACACAGCACTGATTCAATGAGTGCATCAAGGTGATCTTATTAACCACTAGGTGGCAGCAAAGGCAGCATTTTCAACTTGTGTGTAAACCTGTGAGGCTCCTCTCAGTCCAGGTCAGAACTCACTGTTTTTCTTTCCTGTTGCAATAAAAAATTTGCATTAAACTAAAACACAGCAAACAAACTCACACAGAGTGAACCTGCAGCTGTTCCTGCTCAAATCCTCACATCTGTCTTATTATATGTCTGTCTCAAGATATACTTATATCTTGTGGTAATTTGTAGTTTTATTAGTAAGTAAACTAGGGAATCTGTGGTTTGAGTACATTGTATTTTTGGTGGTCATTTTTGCATTAATATGACGACCTGGTCTGTTCATGGTCAGTGCAGAGGACTGGATGGTGTCCATGTGGAGGACGCACAGTTCACTTCAGCAACTGTCACCTGACTCAGTGATGATGCTGCAGGTGAAGATATCTTCACTCTGTCTAAATCACTATTCTCTGTTCTTTTGTCAGATGAGCAGAATAACAGCCGCTCCACTGATGAGCTACAGGTCATCTTATCAGGAACACCCTGCCAATGATGATAGAGTCCTGGGTTGAATATGAACTCACAAACCAGCTGCAGAGAAATAATCATTATTGATCCTCAGCAACCTTTAACTATCCAGTGAACGTGTGAATGCAAAAGTGAAAGTTACCTATCTGTTATCAGTCACACCACAGTTGTTTTCAATTCAAAGCACACACCACATCACATAATGCAACGTCATGTATCATGAAAACATTCATTATTAAGTCAATTTCCTTGTTGACAAATTGTAATTTGTCTGTTTTATGTTTCTTTTTTTAAATAAATATGATCAGTTTGAAATGAAGGGGGATCTCTTCAAAAATGTTAGATAGACGACGTAGACTTCAAAGCAGTGACACTTCTTCACCTCGTTTAGTTTCATTTAAACACACTGAGGACATTTCAGATTCTGTGTCGGCATGAGGTCAGTCAATGTGTGAGCTCAGGTAACTTCATCTTAATTATGTTTATATCGTCGTGTTTGTTTATGCACATAGGTTAATGATTAAATGCCTTGTTACCCCTGCCCTTTGAGGTAATTTATGATGAGTAATTGTGCACGATATAAATAAAATGAATCTTATTCACACCAACAGCAGACAAACGACAGACTCGTCCATGCACAGAGCAGCATTCAGACTTTATTGTAAAAGATTCTTCAAAAACAATTGTAATTCATGTTAAAACCACAAAGTTACAGTCGACTCTTTGATGCAGCAGCTGCAAGAAACTCAAACTTAAATCTTGTCCATCTGTATCTGTTCAGAGGGGAAAACGCAGCAGTGGCCTACAGAACTGACAGGCAGATGTTACAGCCACTGGCTGTCAATTCATAGGTCATCACCTCGTGTCCCATTGTTCTTCAGCTACATCAACAGGAAACACTCAGACAGTGAGGTGTGCCGTCTCAGTAGGAGAGGGTGAAGTCAGTATGTGCAGCTTCACGCCGTGTGTGGCGGCTCTCTGCAGGTAACAGCACCTCCACTGGAACAGACAAACACTTCCACATGGAGTTGCTGTTACATCCAGAAAGCACCAGACGCCTCGTCACTGACGACAAGCCGCAGCTTCTCCACTTGTTCTCCGAGTGCTGAGATCGCACTTCCTGCTTCCTCTGGGCGTTTGGGAAATACACCTGAGACGAGAGCGAGAGAGAAAGAGGAGAAACAGAGCAACAGAGGTCAACTCAGCATGTGCACCTGGAGGCAGCTGCTTTAGTACGTGAGGAGGCTCCACTCGCAAGTGACTTTGACCCGGCAATTTCCTCCTCCCAGTTTTTATTGCCTGAAGAGTCGGCATCATTGCTCACACTCTTCCAACAGCGCGGCCAAAGGGCCAAGGCCTGTAGAGATAACACAGATTTTATGGTACCTGTCAACATGAGGGCGCTTTTCAATATGTGAATACATGGGTGTGTCTGACCTGTGTACCTGCAGGCCTCACATTTCCTGCTCGCTCTGACATTCGTCCTCTTAATTACTAAAAGATTGGCTTCACAGTTTGTCAATAATCTATCAGTTTGAACCTGATCATGTTATTTTTTTATTTCTTTTTTGTCTTGTGGAGCTTGCAGAGTAATAACTCTGTAGACTTTGACTTGCAGTAAAACACTGTGCGCAGAAAAACAGAACAATAAAGCAATTAAATGATTAGCAGCTCTGTTACAGCACCTATACTTGTACTTGTTTGGTTTTTACTCTGTTGAATAGACCAATCAGACGGCAGCCATCGACCTTCTGACTCATCAGGAACATTTACTTTGTTTTATTCATTGTTCCAAAAAACCCTAATAATACTACTGACCTAAACTTGTACGTTTCATTATAATGTTTCATAGAAATGTAGTTGTGGACTTCAGACTATTAAAGTGAGACAGATTTTGTATTAGAAAATGTAATGTCTCCCCAAAAGTCGAGCTTTTTCATTATAGTTAAACAAACCAAAGTGGGGAAATTAGGTTTTCCCTTTTTACCACTTACTTTTTCTTCAACTGTCCTTTGGAGAAAATAAATTGAAGGTGTCCTTGTACATGATTTTAAATTGTAAATTTCATACAGAACACAGTCGTCGGTTTTGGGCAGGAGCTGTACTCACCTTTAGATGCATGACCCGCTGGTTTCCACAGGACGAGGCCAAAGGTTTGAGGAGCGGCAGGTTGTGGTGGGACAGGCGGAGCAGCAGAGGGGAAATAGAGCACAGACAAGTAGAAACTCAGCAGCCAGGGCCGAGACAGACAAAGACACAGAGAGCAACAGCGGCCGTGGACGGCGACTGGCAGAGCTGCGTTTTGATGTAAATGGCAGCAATGGCAGCAAAGCACTGGCAGCGAGGCAGAGCAGCCAGTTTAAGGGATCAGGAGTTGGTGGAAGGTTAATTATTACACTCGCTGTCAATATTTAACAGGCCCAGCGCCCTGCCCCTCAGTCCAACATCCTGATTCCACACTGACTGACACAGAGGGTAGGGCCAGCGCCAAGCACATCTCTTTTGTCCCCGCCACAAAATATGTATTCACCGCCTCACATGACTGTAGAGAGGAACCCAGTGCACCTTCTGTGAGATGTGCTGTTTCTGAGTCTTAGCTGTGATTCGTAAGACTGTCACATATTCATTGAAGTGTATATTGCAAAATGAGCCATGTAAAGGAACATTTGTTAAAAGATACCCATGATGCAACGAGGTATCAGCACGTGAGCCACATTTATGACTGCATCCATCTCTCTCACACACACGCACGCACGCACACACACACGCACACACACACCTACGCACAGTGACTGGAGTAAGCAGATATGAAGCTCGGAGGTATGAAGCAATAGCACAGGAGGAAGAAAGAGACTGTGGACTGTAGTCACAGAGCCAGAGTGAACGACAGCACAATAAAAGGCTGATTGAATGGTGTGTTAAAGATTGTGGGGGGGGGGGGGGGGGGGGGGGGGCAGAGTGAACTTTGATGCATAGAAATTA